TTAATTGATATTATTATCTCAAATTATATTTATATTAGTTACAATAGTATACAATATCTAATAATGAAAATCCTTCCGAATGTAGAATGTAGGCATTATATTTCCTCATTTGGAATGGTTGCATGAAATGAGAAAATGTATGTGTGCATACAATTCGCATAAGCGAATATTGAATGCAAGTGTAAAATACCATGTTATTAAATATGCTTCCTGAAAATTGTATATGTGAGATTTAATGCAAAAAGGTTGTTCCACACTAGGGTGGTCCAAAAAAAAGTTTATGCTAGGGGGCAGACATGTGGAATAGGATCATATAGACTTTTAGTGTAAAGATTCGAGAAATTGCAATGAAATAGCAAAGTCTGTGAATGGATTCGCGTGGAATAGCGAAACATTGCATGGAATAGCAAAAATTGTTTCACTTCAAATCCATTTGATATTTCTTTTGACGTTTATTGATGGATTAGTGGAATAGTGCGGGATAGCAGAATTAGCATTTTTGGCGGAAATAGTGCATGGAATAGGAAAAATAGTTTCGATTTCACATCTGTGTTTTTGGATTAGTGGAATAGCTGGATTAGTAATTTATATAGTGGATTCGGAATTTATTCTTTGGTGTCTCCCCCCTAGAGTCTATGGTATCGAGATTCGGTTTGGTGAAATACATAAAGAAATGACATGTTTGCCGTTTTTGTTTCATACAAAAGGATCGCCTTTTGTAGTACCCGCCTGGCGGTATTTCACCAAACCGGTTGGGACATTTCGATACCATAAACTTTTTTTGGACCACTCTATTGTACACATTTTGAAGCACAAGCAGAAGAAAATCTACAAAATGTTCTATATTCTGGCAATGAAAAATGAAAGTCGAGCTTGAAAAACTTGAAAAAAAAATTGAGTCGAAAACAAAAACAATCGAACATTGCATGATTTTATGCGAATGTAAGTGAATTTAAATTTGCATGGCTATTTGAAAAGCGATTATCTGGATAAATTTCAATAAATATCGCGTGATTGAATGCTTCAAATAACATTGGATTTGTATGTAAGTGTGTGTGTGCTGGACAACAGAATGGATAGTTCCGTTCTAAGGCCACCTACTCGTCTCAATGTAACCGACAAAATTCGTTGGGTTCCGTAAAATGCAAATAAAATAATGAAAAAAATAATGCTAGAAATCAAAAGGGAAGCGATAGAAAAAGCAACGAAATGTTATGCCACGAAGGAAGAGAAATATTTATGCAAAAAGCATTCATTATCTCATAACATCGGTGCGATTGAAGCGATATTGCAAAGGCGTTACGATAAACACTCTGTAAACGACACATCGAGAAAAACGGCCAGCACTTGCGATGAAGAAAAACCTATCCACAATTTACGAGCGAAAAATTCATATATGCAAGTCTTTTTCTCTCACAACACGAACATTTTCATGATGTTCCATTAGACGGTGCAAAATATTGTAGTAACTGAGGAGAGAAAAAAATGATTCCGACGCGATATGAATTATTACACTTTTTTTGTGTTGTTTACGATTTTTTACCAACTTTTCGCGTTGTCGTTCACTTCTCTTTTTTTCTAAGTATTACCAATAGTTGTTGCGGCTGTTCTGGTATTTTCTACATGTGCATTAAGTACCACAGTACCACGACACAGATTATTTTATTAGCAATGTACACACATCGATCGATGTATGCACACTTGGCAGGGAAATTGTTTTCTTTACGAACAGAAGTAAAAAAAAAACAGGCATTTGTATAAAAAAAGAGACAAGCCTTTCACGACTTAAGAAACATGTTCATTTATCCGACAGTACTTGTTATTATTACTAAGCTTATGAATACATTATGAACATAGAGAACGTGCACTTTTAATACATATACTCATTACTCATATTCCGTTGCTTAAGAAAGATCAATTTTTTCGCTTCGATAGAGTTTAATTTAAAAAAAATTTAACGTTGCCACCAACTTGCATAGATTTTTGTAATATGAATAGATTAAATATCTGATGTATGATATATTCATACTTATGTTTATAATGATATTTTACAAAAAGTAAAAATATCGTTTTCATTTTTCAAATATATTTTTGTCATTCTATCAATCGACTAATGAATTCGTATTCTCTAATAAAAGTCGAATGTATATCAAAATAAATCAACAAGACCAGAAACAAAAAAAATGTTCTTACTAAAAGAAAAAAAATAATTCAATTCAATCTATTTGTGAAATAGAGCAAAAAATGTAGATTGGAAATTTGCACGAAACAAGTTGAACTTTTTATTATCAACAATTTATGAATTTCATCGGATTTCAATTAATTTTTTACAAAAAAAAAATGTGGATCCATGCTTTTGTGTGTCATCATTTTGCTATTATTCGTCAATTCACCTCACTTCATCTCATTTATGCGCGGCAGAGTTGAGATGAAATGAGCTGGTTAATCTTGTGGAGCAGGTAGATCCGACCCGGGCCGAAGTGTTCTGGAAGTTGAGCATGGTATCAAATCTCGCACAATGTTAGCATAGGTGATAAAAAGTTTGGTTGGTTTTGCGATTTTCCCACCGGAAATATAGTGCTACAAAATTTAAAAACGTATGAAAATCGAGCCATGCGGTTGGTCTATCTGGTGTTTTTGGTGCTTCTTCTCATCAAAATGCATTCAAGGTTGAAATTGATGCAATAACATTGGAAATGGGTGGTTACGATTGTTACATCGAAGGTATTCACATTCCATTTTATATATGTTTTTTTTTTTATTTGGTCATTCTATTTCGAAATGTTAAAATTTCTGTTTTTATTCATTAAGGAGTTGTTTGTGATAAAACAAATATTCGAGTAAAGTCAACTGACACCGAACTTTTTTTCACCTGTATTTTGATGGATAGTTCGGGCAGCATAAGTGTTGCTTTCTATGGCAATTGTGTAAATGCGTTTTACACACAAATTATGGTATAATTGTTTAATTTATTTTTATTTTTAATTCATCATTCATTTTGTCATTTTATACATCTATTTTTAATATTTTGTTGTTGTTATTATTTAGGAAAATCAAACCATTCGATTCTAGGATTTTATCGTACGACAAAGTGGACAATTTGATCCATGGAATCGATCTGTTTACATCATACATGCGAGACATGAGCAAAAATACCCATCACTCTTACTAGCGCCATCCCATCGGTAGGATTTTGCACTAGCCATTCTCAGGTGCTGTGTATAAAAAGGCCAAAGAATGGTTAGTGCAAAATAAATGATGTGCTTCAGTTGCATTTTTCTTTAAATGGAAGAAGCAAATTAAAACTTCCCGCAAATGATCTTTTGTTGGAACGAAATTCGACATTTTGAACGCAATAAAAAACTTGTGTGTATAGACTTGTAATCACTTTGAAAGAATTTAATAATAGTTTTTTTGACGCTCTTTAAGATACACTTGTTGTCACTGTCAAAAAAATGGCGCGTATGATACACAAGAAGGTGACACAAATACGACATTTTTAAGTTGCACTACCAATATGAGCAGACTTTATCCGATTTGACAGAAAATGTAATATTATTATTAATTTCAGATCAAAGAATACGAGCCGAAATTGTGTCAAAAACTGATGCATCAATGGGGTAAGTATCACCTTTGCTTTCGCCTCTTTTCTTTAAAAAAAACCCAGCTAAAACTATCTCATTTCATCTAGGATTTTAAATCTAAAACTACATAAAATATATGGAATACGCCTGATAGACTTCCAGTATATGTAATAGAACTATATGTGATCGGGACCTAAAGAAGTGTGAAAATAAAGCTAGAGCAAATCAGTTTTAAAATGTGCATTTTATTAAAAGAAGGATAAATTGAAGTACTTTGAAGAATAAAAACTGGTGTAACAAAAAATATACGAGTTTAATGGCTTAGAAATGAAAATTCGGCTGTAGTGATTGTGTTGCTATTTTGATTGAATTTATTTATTTTTCTTTTTTACTTTCGACTGTCCCACTTTTTTCTAGCTCAGAACGAAAATGCTTTTTTACTATTTTCCAGCAGAAAAACCAACAAAATCTCTTTATAGAATGTTTCCATTTCAAATGACTGATATAACTGTGATGGAGAGAGTATACTATAGCACGCCATTGACAATTTGTTTAGATTTTTTATTCGCCTATGCGAAATTGATTTTTATGGTTTTAGAGCTGTGGTCAATGGTAACGACTTTTTTGAAGGCTTCAGATTTGAAAAAAAATCTCATTTCAATGATATGAATTTTTATAACCCAAACCAAAACGGATATTGTTTTTTTTTTTTATTTAAAATCTGTATATTGTATAATATGAATCATAGTCTATTCAATACTGCAATAGTAAACAATTTTATGTGAGAGATAATGAAAGAAATGAAAATAGAAAGAACATGATGGAAATGCTGTGAAAAAGAAAAACATGCTCTGTATATGTTTGGGCAATAGTTTCGTACAAATAATACGGCAAAATAATAATGTAATACATATTTAAAACATAATGTGCATTTTTCAATTCAAAAAATTAATTTTCAAATGTATGAAAAGACTCGATCATTTATAAATTCATACAAAAAAATGTGTTCATGTATGTATGTGTGGGTCAGTTCCTTTTTTTTGCAGATAGAGAAAACACAAATCAGACTCCACCGTCGGCAACTTACCCGCAATTCTAAGTCACTCTCTGTATGTACGGGTCCGTGGCGCAACGGATAACGCGCTTGACTACGGATCAAGAGATTGCAGGTTCGAATCCTGCCGGACTCGATTCTTTTTTTTTTGTTTTTTGGACTACACTTCTTCCGTTTATTTCTAGACGATTCTATCGAAACATGTGCCCGCAAAAGCAAAAATACAATTTGAAGCATTCTATTTATTATTTGAATATATTTGATTTTATCAATCCGAATTTTAAAGCGAAGCAACAACAATTTTACTTGTGATTTTCTTCCGTGAAAAAAAGTGTAATCCAAAAAACAAAAAAAAAATGAATCGAGTCCGGCAGGATTCGAACCTGCAATCTCTTGATCCGTAGTCAAGCGCGTTATCCGTTGCGCCACGGACCCGTACATACAGAGAGTGACTTAGAATTGCGGGTAAGTTGCCGACGAACACAGTACACAGAACCGTAGAAGCACACACGTGCTCTAACATACCGCGATAAAAATAAATGCTTGTGTGATTTGCACAGATCAACGAATGAAAATCACTCGTATCTCCATCACAGTTCCTATTGTTAGTGTATTTTTAATTTTAGTCGCTGGTTTTTGTATTCAAAATATTTGCTCAAATATTTTACTGCCGTCTGCTTAAGAATTCATTATTCTACATCTACAAAAAAAAATATTGAATTAAAATGAATGTACACAAGAACATGTGTTTTAATAAAGATACTCCGCTGAATGATGTTTGAAATAAAAAAAAAAATTGCGTCATATAAAATAGCGACAATTCGCTATAGATTATTATAAATAATTTGCGAGCCCATCTTTTCGGTCAAAATTTATAGTTTGTGTGTCATAAACTATTCCAATAAGTTTGATTATGTAATACGTTTGAGATCTTCTTTTTACGATAATTCCGACAGTCCAATGTTCATGCAGCAAACATAAACCGAACAAGAAATGAAAAAAATTGACATTTATAACGTGATAAAAATATCAAGATTTTATGACGGTCTCTGCTGTAACTTTCTCTTGACACTTTCGTTCCGGTACAAACATTTTCCTTTATTCTTTTTATTTGCCCTATGCCGGTGGCCATTTCAGCGGTATGTCATCACAACCGAGTTCTTAAGAATTCATTTTTTCCTCTTGTTAGAATGTCAGAGTATTATTGTTTTCATTCCGGTCTGACTTTGAGTGCATTAAACGACAAATGGAAGCATCTTTTTGTTTGACATCTCTTACGGATAACATCAAACATTCAGGCGATAAGTTCAGTGTGTATGTAGTGCAAACGTCTTCACTTCACGTTGATTCGGTCAGTGTATGTTCCTTTTTCATCATAATAAAAAATACTAACAAGTTGCTCCTCTTTGAAATACCTAAAGGAATGCCCAAGGAGGCATCAATACGCATTGTTTGACACCAGCTGCTTTGTAATCAATGTCCGATGTTCATTTTTGTTTTATCAGTTTTTTGAATGAATGATTTAAGTTGTGATTAAAATTGAAAAAAAAAAATCGTTACTCGTCTGAAATCATAGTGAATAAAATATTAAAATCCTTTGATGAAAAATATAAAATACACAACCCACAACAATCTCAAAATAAATCTTCACAGCTTGTCACGTATTCACGCCATGGAAGTGTATTTGAAATTCTATATACATGTCAATTGGCTCCAACATTAATTTAATTCTATTCATTGACATAATTTCGTGTTGTTTATCAGGTAAAATTTATTATGCAAACAATGAGAATACGAACTACATTTTTTATGTGCAAAACCGTGTTTGTTGTATTTTCGTCCGGAAACAAACATTCGAGCGTCATTTATTTTATTCAGAGAGCACATAAATAACCGAAATCAATATAAATTGCATTCAAATTCAAGAGAATCTGAGATCATCAACGAAGAATATATGGAATGGCGACACTGCACAGAACTTTATCGAAAAAGTTGACTCCATATGCGCTTGACTTTAGTGACGACCAGAGGACAATATCATTCGCACAAGAAAAAAATGCACTGTAAAACAGAAAAAGAAACAAACAGAGAGGGAGCGAAACATAGAGAAGAATATATAGTTAGCGATAGCATGAAGAAAAACCAAAATGGAAAAATGTCAATAACAACAAAATACAATCAATGGAACGTAAACGTCTTCTTTTGTTGTTGGAAGAAGCGTGCAAAAGTGTGCTATAATGAATATTACTAGAAGTACACATTCGATTCGTTGTTCATCGTTGTATTGTTGGTGTAAAATTTGCACACCAAAATAAATATTGCCATTTTTCTACATGATGCAAACACATGCACTCATTTTGTGGCTTTTGGTACCTCTACATACACATGGACAGCACAGAAAAATCCATTGCAATCATTATTGGAATTGAGTACGATCATCACTATTGCGCGAACATTATCCAAACACGGTTCTCACCAACATGATACCATTCCGATCAACGAGCCAAAGGGAAAAATCAACGCTGAAGCAAACACCGACCCGAAACGACTGTGAAAACAGTGCAGTAAAGTGTTCTTTTTTCTTCATACGTACCAAACCAAGAAAATTGAAGTGAATGAGACAAACAATGGATTCGGATACGATACCAGAGTAATAATAACAATCGAACGAATTTCACCATCATAAAATCATCAATTTAAAGCAAATAAGCAGCAAACAAAGAGCGAACAACGAAATTCTACTGTATACTGTCGAAACACGAATCACGATTTTCCGGATTGTGCTAGCTCAGCCAATACACCAAAATCCAAATGTTTTTGCACACACTCTCCGCATCCAAGCATCGAACATTACAAACAACTATCAAAGGACTAGTTTCGATGGCAAACAAATAGCATATGCTTGCTTAAATTTATTTATGGCAGATTGAGCGATTTTTTTTTTCTCTATTTGCCTCTGCTTCTCATACTCTTGTCTCTAAAGCTTACTCTCTTTTCAACATTTATTATTATCGCCGCAGTGAAAGGTTCTCTATCACCCGAATCAATATCGATTGCTATCTACAGCTTACAGAAAATGATACGATTCACATTTATCCAAATGTACAGTTTCATTGGAATAAATTTATTTATTCACATTTATCCAACATTTTCGTTGTAGTAAAGCAACACTAGCTTTCTTGTTAGAACGATTAATTTTTGATTACTTATTTTTCATAATTTTATATATTTTTCTACTTTTGTTAACTTAAACTCCTCGTGCTTGTCTCAAAATAGAAAAAGATTACCTTTACTTGTGTTGGATCCGATTTTCTTCTGTCTCTAATTTATAGCTGAATAGAGACCGAGGACCTCTATTTATAATTCCCCAAAGTAACCCACTTGGAATTCATGTAAAATCCGTGTTAAACACTTCAAGATCAATGTTAATTTTTCCGTGTACTTGTTTAATTATTTTATCAAAATTGCTGCAATATTTATGCCAACTACGACATGAACATTGAAACAGTTGTCGTTTTTCTACACCATTTTTTGCATGCATAGTATGCATCATCAAAACCCCATCTAATTTAATGTGACATTTTATGCAACAAACAAATAAAGCTGACAATACAATAATGCAACACCACATTTTGAACTCGTTTTTTATGTATACCACCAAACGTGTTGTATCATTCACGTTCTCTCCCCCAACGGCCAATAATGCTAAATAAATTGAAATTATTGTAATAAAATTATCAAAATCGAATTATCACATAAATATTAGTCCGTTAAAATGTGATTTACGCTAATTTGTGAGAAAAAAAAAACCATTCACAATTTACAATAATACATGTCACGAGATATGCATTATGCAAATAAAACAGTCAAATGTATCATTTCACCATAAAAACAATGCGAATGATTTGTGTTCGTTTCCAAGCGAATCAAAAGTAGACAACTTTTTAAGCGAATTCAAATTGTGTCAATATTTCACCTGACACAAAAAATGTATGCCTCGTTTGAGAGCCATGATTGATATATAAATCAAATGATTCAACCATTCTGCCAATCTGCCATTCGTGTCGATGTTGTTTTTGACGTTGTGGACCTTTTTCCGTTGACGAAAATCAGCAATAGATTTTTTTCTTTGACCTGAATTTGTTTTGGTACTATTTGTAAACTACACAGCTACGTATTCTTGTTTCTTTGCTCAAAATGCCTATTTTGAACAAAACAGGTGAATCGACAGCTTCGTCACTAATCGAATTAAAAAAAGCTGGCATCGATTTCTTGCGAAGACATCTTGTGGAAAGAGAATGTGAAAAATATCTGTGTGAAATAACAAACAGACAGTCGGATGTTTGAAGGTAAATCACAATAAGCTCCGTGGTTGAACATGCAGACAATGGCTTGAAAATCGCGTACAAAAAAAAAGAGTCGAAAATCAGATCGTGTTTCCATTGATAGAACGAAGCAATGTTTGCGTGAATCCAAACTATTATTTATAAATTGACTGACATTTTAAGCCATCCTACAATTTATTATACACATCTATAGTATTTCGCTTTCTCATTCGAGTTGCACATTTAAGATGGCATTTTTTCAGGATAGAATGAATCAGTTATATTGTCTCATAAACCCATAAAACGACACCCATCTTTCAACTCATGTTTGACGACATAAAACGACAATCTCATTTTGTTGCTTTGGAAATTTCTTTTCCGTTTAGAGTAGCAACCGGTTGCGCTATGTCTGTGTTACGTTCAACGCTTGTAATCTATTCGTATATTCAGATGATGGACACCAAGATCTGAATAGGGTTAGGAAATAAAAAAATTTGGATAAACACCGTTTGACAAATTTACAATATGTTTGCTTTTCTTTTCTCCTCCCGTCCACATCATCCAACAATTGAATTATCGATTTGTGGTGTATACTGAAAATATCATGAATAATGTTTGCTCTCTTCAATTTTGTTTCGTATGCCTTTTTGATGGGATCAAAAACACATTTCCTATTTGCAAAATAGTATTACGTGAATGTCGTTCTTCTTTTTGAGGAAATAGTGAAAAATCGAATCCTTTTTCCATTATTTGTAGCACTGGCTTTATTTTGATCATTTACTTCGAATGAGTCAATTTGTCTTGATTCGATGTGTTGTTGATTGAATTCCATTGCAATAAATAACACTACGAATCGATTTGCAAAGGTCATGACCCTATGGTAGCTGTGAATGAAATAAAATACAACGGAAAAAGTCAACAATTGCATAATTATCATAATTAATTGCGATGCATTTAAATAAAGTAAATTGACGTAAAATGACGAGAGTAAAATTAATGTTGTCACTGTTTAGTGAAAAAAGGAAGTATTTGATATGATATCTTATCAACAACATCAAATTATAGACTGTCATACCTTAATTTGCACATGCATATGCAAACAAAATACACGCCCCTTTGAGATCTATTTATACACACCATAATTTTCAACCGCTCGAAACATAATAACGATAGTACATTAACCTGCCTATTACTTTCTATATGGTTCGTCTATTAACATTAATATTTCACGACGACAAAAACCGATAGCAACACAAAAACAACAAACCCTTCTGGGACCATTATATGGGATAGCAATTTTTTTTCTGATAAACTCATTGTGGTTGACAGATAGATTAACAACAGTGATAGAATTTCAACCAGTAAACATTTTGTTGCACATTTTGTGCAGTAATTAGAATCCTTCTCATGCACTGAACGTTACATAATTTCAACGGAAATGTTGTTACTGCCAGTCTTTTTTTTAATACAAAACGAGCAAGAGCAGGAGGTTGTTCAACATTGCTCAAGTTTTATACTGGCTATTTTTATGTTGTTCTTCAAATTATCAAAAACTATCAAGTTTGTAAAGTTTTAGTTATAATCTGGTCTTGAAGTGTAATTTAAAGGTAGTAAAAAGGTAAACTGAAACTTAGTTACTTTTTTATACTCAAAGATTTCATCAACAGTAATATCGCATTCAAAGTTGATTTTTTTCCGAGCCATTCTCTCGAAATGTAACATTTTTTTACTCAATACATACATTTGGGTTGGACTTGGGAAAGTCTTGACTTGAATAAGACAACAGACGCAGAAACAATTTTTCACTCTTCACTTTTGTTAGAGACTAGATTGACGTTTCATAGATATTTAGGAGGTGGGAACCTTTTTTGCGTGCAGTATCGATTGAATAAAACATGGATAGACTGATATATATAAATGGCATCATATACCGATCAATAATACTTTTGAAAAATGAGAAGCATTTGATATTGAAAGAAAAAAACTGAAATATTTGCTTTCCAATTGTGATTGGTACGTTGACTTTTCAGTTTGATTTTTATTTCATATTGATCATAACATCAGAATACGAATAAATGTTGAATTTGGGAATGTGCAATTAAGGGAGAAACTAAAAAATCCAATGAGAAGGAATTAAATAATGGACAATTCACGAAACTGATGAGAGAGGTTATTTCTTTGACAGAAGAGAATTTTTGTCAGTATTGCAAATAAAAATATCTGCTATCATGAATGTACAAAATGAAATAATGCAATCGTCAAATTTTTACAACTATTTTATAAATTTTCTTTTTAAATTTGATGTATTTTTAGTTAAACTAAAGCATCTTTTCTAAATCAAAAATATAAATTAAAATCAGAGATGTAGTTTTGAACAGTTTTATTCATTGATTTACTCCGAGAAATCATATATTCTCTTTATGAATGAACAATTTGTTTCGACATTTTTTTAAAATGCTCAAAATGTATTCGGATTTATATCGCACGCAATTATACGCATTTATACGCATTCAAACATATGTGTGATTTGCGCTAATATCGAAAATAAAGCCTATCTATCGTGAGCGTGACTACGTGAACGTTCAATTTTCGTGTCGAAAAATGTCATCATTGACGTCTTTTTTGGCCGTGTTTGTGTCGACCACGTTCATCAAATTCCAATAGAAAAAAAGTTTTTTTTCCGTGCAAACTATAAGAGCTTAATTTTTTTTCGCAAAAACCGGTATGTATTGAACTACAAAAATAAATTAAAATATCAATTAAACTTGATATTTCTATTGAAAACGTGTTGTTATTCATTTGGAAAAACTTTCTCATTGAGGTTATAAATGCAAAACAATGGGCAGTAAAATTGTTGTAATTTGATTTGTTGGTTTTTTTTTCCAGAGAGAATGGCACCGAAAAATAAAATTGATGAAAGTGAAAAAAAGCCCTTGATCGGGCGAGTTGGTACCAATCTACGTGTTGGTATCGTTGGCGTTCCGAATGTAGGCAAATCCACATTTTTCAATGTTTTAACTAAAAGTGCTGCACCGGCTGAGAATTTTCCTTTCTGTACCATCGATCCGAATGAAAATAAGTATCCCCGATATATTTCATTTGTAATGAGAGTAATTTAGGCAGTTTGTGTTAACCAATGATTTTTTTTTCATTTTCTCTATTTGTGTTTACATCGTGTGCCCGTGCCAGATGAACGGTTTGATTATCTTTGTGAATACCACAAACCAGCCAGGTACCAGGTTTGCGTAAAACTACGATTGATTCAAACAAATAACATTCATGATTTTCTGAAATAGCAAAGTTCCGGCTTATTTGAATGTTGTTGACATTGCCGGTTTGGTGAAAGGTGCTGCTGAAGGTCAAGGCTTGGGAAATGCTTTTCTTTCACACATCAGCGCTTGTGATGCTATTTTCCATCTGTGTCGTAAGTATTGATAAAAACATAGATATTTGGAACCTTGGGCATTTATCACTTGTGTGCATAATTTTTGGATAAATAGGCGCATTCGATGACCCAGACGTTACTCATGTTGAAGGTGAAGTCGATCCAGTACGCGATTTGGACATTATTGCCGAAGAATTACGGTTGAAAGATGAAGAAACAATAGATAAAACTCTTGAAAAAATGGAACGAACCGTTATTCGAGCCAATGACAAGAAAATGAAGCCCGAATTTGTAAGAAAATAGAAAAATTACAAAGATCTGGTAGTGAATGATCCTTAACCAATTTTGTTTTTAATTTACAGGACACTTTAGTGAAGGTGAAATCTGTCTTATCTGAACAGAAGAAGCATATTCGGTTTGTGTTATTCATTCAAAATCACGTTCTTGCCGCTTCAATATTAAATCATTTTTTTTGGCAATTTTTTTAGATTTGCAGACTGGAGTGCTCACGATGTACGTAATTTCTTCAAACTAAATTGCAAATTGAATTCTGTTATAATTCATTTTTTTTATCTCTTTCACTTAGATCGAAGTGTTGAACAAATATTTGTTCTTAACATCAAAGCCGTGCGTATATTTGGTGAATTTATCGGAGAAAGATTTCATCCGTAAGAAGAACAAATGGCTCATCAAAATCAAAGAATGGGTTGATAAGAATGATCCAGGCAGTGTAATTATACCATTTTCGGGTGCGTTCGAGCATAAATTAGCCGATTTCGAACTCGATGCCGAGCGTCAAGCTTTCGTAGAAGAAGTCAAGTGTGTTAGTGTGTTGGATAAAATCATTGTCAGCGGATACAAAGCATTGCAATTAGAATACTTTTTTACGGCTGGTCCAGACGAGGTCAGAGCCTGGACTATCCAAAAAGGAACGAAAGCACCTCAAGCTGCCGGTAGAATTCATACCGACTTCGAGAAAGGTTTCATTATGGCCGAAGTTATGCATTACGTTGATTTCAAGGAAGAAGGTTCTGAGGCCGGGGCAAAAGCAGCCGGTAAATATCGACAACAAGGAAAAACATACGTTGTTGAAGATGGTGACATTATCTTCTTTAAATTTAACGCGGGCTCCGGATTGACTACTAAGAAAAAATAAGTCAACACCTATCAACTCGCAAAAATATTATTTCTAATTGCATTTTCAAACTGATTCTGATCATGATTTGTATCTGTTAATCTAATGATTTGATTTTTTACGCTTTAATTTTTTTCAACTTTCACAATTAACAAATAAACGTGAACGGAAAAATTACATGAACTTTTTTTTATTCAGTTTTTGTATTTCAATTCAGAAAATAGTATATAAAGGAAACAAAAATATAAGGAAAACGGTGGGTTTTGATCTCATTCAATAATTTTGCTCTATTCATCGGTGGCTGTTCGTTGATTTGCACGCTCAATGGTCACATCTTTGAAAATAACCTTGCAATCGATGGCATTCATGTTTGGCATTAGAAATTCTTTAATGGTTCCGTCATTTCTGGTTGCCTTTCGATCGAATGGGAAACCCATATTACCTAAAAAAGTGAATCGTATGGTAAAAATAATTTTTCTAAGGGGCAACTTAAAATTCTAACGTTTGTCTGGATAAAGTCTATCACGAATTCCACAATATGCCATTGCATTTGAACATGTTCCGGATAGATCTTGTTCAACACGATCGTCTTCATAGTTTGATACCTAAGAGGAGAATCACAAAAAAAAAGAATCGAATTAATTTAAAATAATCGAAAATAATCGGAAACATATAATGAAAAAATTGCAAAGGAATAGCCACAACAACATTAATGTTCAGCGATTGCTTTAAATTGAGATTTGGTAGTTGTAATCGTCGATTTCTGTGAAAGATAAAAAAAAATAGTTTGATACCATTGCAAATAGTACGCAGGCAAAGCCGCCATTATCAGACTCGGGTGCACCTCTTGGTATAAGCATGTGATGGGGCCTTAAGTGAATTAAAGTTTGATCAGAGATCTTCTTGTGGTTAAATCACATCCAGAGGTTTTACTTACCAACCACATCCGCAAAAATCATACGCATAACCCTCTTGTGAGAACTGTGGTGCTTGAATTATTCCACCAGCTTGCTGTTGACCGCCGCCTTAATGGAACAAAGGGACAAAGAAGAAGTATTAGAAGATGTTCAATGTTTCAATTCTCTTGCTGTCCCCACCTGGTCTCTCCTTGTCGATATTACGGAACGTTTGTTCGTATGGAATTGTCACCGTTGAATCTATCGACTTTCGCCGTATTACGTTCTCTCCTGGATTTACTAAAAAATATCGTGTATATTCATTCAAATATGAAAACTGTGTTGCATATAAATATAACAAAGAGAAAAAAGAACAAATTAAACTCACAATTGACAGTGAATCGGTCCATTTCCATCATCAAGAGACGCATTTCTGAAAATTTAAATTCTTTCCCATTTTCGTCGAATTTGGGCGCCATAAAAATACGCATAGTACCACGACTTTGTACACTCTTGTTGTTCGTTACTTTGAACGTATACACGAATGGGACATGTTGCAAATGAGTGAATCTTAAACATACAAAAAATAAATGATAGAAAAGTTTGAATTGCAGAAATAAGAGCAAACCGTACCTTGCATAAATATTGCCACGTGGGAAAAAGTCCATTCCGCGCGATAAGTCAATATCTGATTGTTGCCAGAATGTATTGAAAATATTTGGTGGAATATTGTCACCGTCAGATTTGACTTCAACCGATGAAAGGACAATATTTTCGTAGCCGATCTCTTTTTCATTGTATGGTCGAAGTTTTTCTTTATGAATCTGAAAGATTTTGTCGATATATGCATGCCAACGATAGAACACTGGATCACGGACGGCAGTTGCCGATTCACCTATTATTTTAAAAATTTAACAAAATATTTCGTAATAAATTTGATGTAATATGGTAGTTACCAACAACACCAAAGCTTTCTAAATGTCTGTGCTCCGGGTCATGAGCAAACGCCTGGAATTAAATTAATTTTTGAAAAACACTAATTTTCGAATATCGTGGAGAAAAAATTACAAACCATAAACACATGTCCCATATTATGAACGTCTCCATAGTAATCTCGGTCAATCGAGACAATTGATGATTCCATCATATTTCCAATCATATCGATACCATTGTAATCATCTAAATGCACGTCATCACCTTCAGGCTGCGTAAATTTTTTGATATGTTAATTTATATCAACTAGTTGTGTTAGTCCTAGCTATGACTATTTTCGAATTGAACAAAATGAACTCACGTCTTTTGCAGTGGCAGTTTCGCAAGCCGTTTTGATGCGATCTATAAATGTTTCCATCTGGTCAATTGTTATTTTTATTTCATCTAGTCCCCGATTCAAATCTGTCAATAGGGCAGATGGACTACGGCTGGGCCATGCTCTGCTTGTTACAAGCGAATTCATCTTGGGAAAGTAGGCTTCAGAAATTGTATCGCGTAAGCTCTTGAATGGTTTCGTTCGATCCATACGATTACTCAGACGTTCTGCATCGTATCTGGCCATTATCTTTTACAGACAAGAAATAATCGAATTTTACAAATCATTTTGCGATTTTATTACTCAAAAATGAAAAAAAAAAAAGTTATTTGAAATAACATTGGTTGAAGTGGCTTACCTGTTCATGCATATAATAAAATAATTCACCTCGTCGATGCTTGGCAACAATAAGACTGCTGAATGCTTCGTATGGATACACCAAATGCCAGTGCCAATGATGTAAATTTATTCCAACATCTTCTCGGAAATACCACAACTTATTTTCAATTTCATCGTCCGAAGCCGTGTAACTTTTCGGTATCTCGATGGGTTTTCGCAGTCCTTCTGGCACCAAATATGCCTCCTCTTTTAATTTGGCAAACACTTGTGAGTCCAAAAATTTTTCGGGAAAAATCTCCACGAACAATGGAATATTTAAATTTTTTGTATCGTCACGATGCAAAATTACCTACGGGGAGAATCACAAAAGAAAAGAATCGAATTAATTTAAAATAATCGAAAAATAATCGGAAAACAATCAATAATAATTAATAAGCAATTTTTAAGTGAATTGCTCCTAGAAAATTACCACTGACAGTGCATAATTAAATAAAAATGGATTCAATCGATCCCTTGCATACACGGCCACCGTTTGTAATTCATCGAGTGTTTTTAAATCTGTAAAAAAATATTCCAACATTATTATTAAATATTATTATTTGCTGTTCGAATTGATGAATTTACTCATGAAAATGTCAATAAGTTTTGCTGCCAATCGACGATGGCGGGGAATAAATAAAGAAAACTGCTCATGGCGGCCGAGTGAAAGTGGAATTTTCAAATCGGGAATTGCGATGTTAGTACGCACTGGAATTCTTTCTCCGCTGTCTTCACTGAATTCTGGTTGAATTTCGGATCCGATGCTTTTGAAACGATCGGTTAAAAATTGACTCGGAACATCGAAAACTGTCTTATTTGGCCCTTTTCCAACAAATACTGGCTCTTGCGGCCGTTCGAATAACAACAATAAATTCTCTTTCTTTGCCATTTCACTGTCACGACAACTGCGCGATCAACAATCGAAAACAAACTGATGAACATATTGAAATACGGCGCTGATATTTATACAAACTCGTTTCATTTGCGTCTAGTGTAATATTTTTTCCGAAAAATTTCCTGTGGTCATCAGTTGCTTCCTTTCTAGATAAATTTATATAAAAAAGTGCATTATACGCCGTTTCTAGTTTGTGGTTTACGCAAAAATTAATAAATAATAAATCGAAAGTGAATGAATGAATTTAAAAAAAAAACGACCAACAAAACTGATATTTATATCATGCATATGAAACTACTTTGCGACGGAAAAGTCAAACCGACTTCGTGATAAAGTACGTTGAACTCGGTGTTTTAGTTACGTGTCAATGTGGTTGCACTGATCTAAATATGACCGAATATATTTACTTGCATAGTGTCGGTAATATTTCCTAGAAGAAAATTACTTTTCGAAGAAAAGAAGAGTCACAACAATCAAAAACTGAAATTCATGTAAACATGCGACAAAAAGTGCGGCAACATCAAATCGTTGTTTATGGAATAAGCAGTTTAGTAAACAGAAAGAATGAGATACAAAATGAGTGACAAAGTCAATTCGCATCCAAGTGTAAGAGAGACAGATGCTGCGGCACTGCAAAATCAATGCTCAACAGTGATGCACAGACGTAGCATATTCGATGAGTGTGACGAACGGTAAATCATAATTGAAATTTGAGAACGCAAAAAAAAATCACATTCTGCGCTGCAACGAATACCCTTGACATTCAATCGCAGTTACATCGTCCAGACGTAAACAGACTTTTGCGTAGAAAGATTTTCAAAACTCGATTCGAGTGATTTTCGTTTATAAAATTAATGAAAAGTGAGTCTTAAATTGTGTATCATTATAATTTAATCGTTTTTAACTCAAAATACCATTATTTTTGTTGTGCCGGACAAACGCTATTGAATGATTTCTTTTCGTATAGAAAATAGACAAATAACTGCAAAGAACTTAGTGAAAATGTGTTTTAATTTTTATATTCTGTTCAATTAATATTTTAGATGGAGTCCATGATCAAGCTAAAGTCATCAGACGGTAGAGTCTATGAAATTCGGCGAGATTTGCTAAAGTCTATGGGAACAATCGAAGAGATGATTCAAAACTTCGACGAGAATTTTGGTGGTGAAATTCTGCTTCGCGAAGTCGATTCAGATATGCTGGAAAAAGTGGTGGATTGGGCCAAAAATTATAATAAAAGTACCAACAAAGCCAAATTGAATTTTATTAAAAATAATAAAAAGGATTTGTACAGTCTCATCAATATTGCAAACTATTTGGATTTCAAGGATTTAATGAACAACTTGTGCGAATACGTTGCCGATCAGATGAAAGACAAAAGCGTTGATGAAATTCGCAAACAGTTTAATATGACCGAGAGAAAATTCAAAACCCGAACAAGTCTGCAAAACAACAATAACGAATAACGATTGATATTGCATGCTATTACCAACGTTTTTTTCGTAACATTTTTTCAACCACAAAAACAAAACTGCACATTTACGTAAAATATGAAATAGTGAATAGAATGAAAAATTCCATTGCACAAAATAAATGCCCATTTAATTTCAAAAGACCATTGTTTCATTTCAAATTTCCCATAGAAATGAAGAGAGGAGAAAAAGAAGCGTTTTCGTTGTGTCCACACACCATAAACTGAACGTCTTTTGAACGTTAGCCTTAGAAAGCGAACGAGAGTCGAAAGTAAAATGAATAGAATTAAAAAAAAAAACAAGTTCAGTTGCGCGCACATATACAATAATAAACGCACACACATGCACGAAGTATTTTAAGCATGTTTTCGGCGCGAAGAATGTTCACATATGAAGATGTACATGAAACACGCACGCTGTCGAATTCTACTAGCAGCAAGTGTATTTCATTGTTATGGTTTTTTTTGTGTTGTGCTCCTCGTCTCTCCGTCTTCACACCATACATAAAATACACCAAACAAACCGCTTGTTGTTTAGTTGTCAAATTACCATGGGTACGCTTTGTTTATTCCGCATAAAATTTATATGAACAGTAGAAAAAGAGACCACTTGAAATGTTTAGACTGTGAAAAAAATATTTGCAACCACATTACCTGAGAATTACAGAAATTCAAGAGAAAATACACACAAAAATGACGCTGTATTTTGATACGAAGGCACAGTTTTTAGACGGAGATGCAGTTAGTACAGTTTGTTGTTGGCATTTTACACAACCATTATTTGCGGTCGCTTCGTATAATCAGGACCGGGGTGCTTGTGTCACCATATTTGATGACTCGGTAAGTATATAATAACATGCATAATAATTATGTTAACAACCAATTTTCTAAATGCAAAGTGTATTTTCGTGTAAAAGGGTGAACCATTACGTGATGTGACATACCCGGTGCATTCTGTTTCACAAGCAACAGCGTTGTGTTGGCATCCGGAACGTCGACAATTGGTGGCCGGCTGGGAGAATGGCGAACTAAATACTTGGTGTGCAGGTCAACGTACATTTTCAACGATGAATTGTACACACAAGTCACCAATTGTTTACATTGGCTTCAGCGAACAAGGTGGCAGAATGGTTACAGCCGATTCGGTAAGATTTGATTTTTAACGGAAGAAAATACGTGTCAATTCATAATTTTTTTTTTTTGCATCTCTGCGACACAAAAAATAGATGGGAGTTTTAATTGGTTGGCGATGTGATTCACACAACGGTCAATTCACCTTAATGTTTACTCATGATTTACGTGATTCCATTGTGCATGTCACATTCCGAAAAACCGTCAAGAGTCTGGTCACAAGTGAATTGAATAGTTTGGCGAAAGCAGCGGTGGCTGGTGATGAAATCGCGCTTGATACATTGGCCAATTGGAGGCCACGTACTGCTGCACGTAGCCTAACTCATACCGGTGTCAAAGATAATCAATGTTTTTACGTTGGATGTCAATCGGGCACAGTATTTTATGTCAATCAGTCTGGTTCGTGCAATGACGTTTTACACTGTGACATATCACCAATCATTCAAATGCTGTGGCATCCAAAACGAGAGGTTGTCGTCACCCTTATGGAAGACATGATGGTTGGACACTACATGGTCGAATCAACTGGAACATTTACTGAATTAGAGCGAGTCAAATTAAGTGGAAAGGTTCCTGGCAAAAATGGATTTTTGTCATGGGCTGGAAGTTCATTGGCTGTGATTACTGGTTGGTGCTGAATTTAAAAAAAATCGAAAAATTTAAACTGAACTAATTGTAAAAATTTCTAAAATTACACAGGTGATTTCACTGTTCGCATATTCGATCTTGATACGAGTGATAGTTTTTTGTTGCCAATGAGTCAAGCAAAAAAAGACACTGAAAAATCGGAGCCGGTAAAATCGATTGAAAAAATTGGGTCACCGATTCATATGCGAGCAACACGATCAATTATGGACAGAGACTATGAGAGCGATGAAGAAATCGCTGTTACAGTGGACGAAACAGAATCGACTAAAGTTACCACAATTGCATCGAAAACGATGGAAGTTTTCACGAGTTTGGCATATTGTAATGAGAACCAAACCCTGTGTGCTGGAACAAATCAAGGAAACTTATACATTTGGAAGCGTAACACATCGCTTGTAATGCAAATGGTAAGCGTTAGATTCGATTATTTTCAATTATTCGTTATTTTCTTTTGTGATTCTCTCCTTAGGTAAGCGTTAGTGAGAATGGCTATGAATCGATGGAGAATTGCTGGCATCTTGTCAACATAGCCAACGTACGTGGCGCAATTAAGTTTTGCAGTTGGGGAGTTTGCGATGTATCAACGCCATGTGTGTTGGTTAATTGCATATCAAATGTGTACATTCTAAAGGTATGACAAGACCTTCATCTGCGGAAATATTTCAAATATGTTCAAATTCTTGTCTATCTTTTTCCAATTAGGAGCAACCTCTTCTGACGGCCTATTCGCCAAATATTTGGATCAGACAGAAATCATCAACACAATTGTATGTGGAGCATGCGAGCAACTTTTCAACCATTCTGCGATGTGACATATCGGCCATTACTGGCCTCTGTCTAAATGAACGCAATTTGGCAATTACCAATCAGAAGAATATCGCAATTTACAAAATACCACGAGCCGATGACTTCAAAGATGCAAAAAATAATAAAAATGTGTCGATAAAACAGGTTCACACATTTAATGTGCTCGATTGCATGAAAATATTTATCTATGATGAGATGCTTATTGTAATTGGCTATCAAAATGTTCGAGTATATTCATTTGGTGGAATTGTATTAAAAGAGATCAATTTCAATGACAACGAAGGTTCACCGATTGGAGCATCGCTCACACATCATTTCATGACAATATTCACAATGAACGGATATCTTAAGGTATTCGATGTGTCACGACATGAGCCAAAATTGATTGTACCACCAAAATCGGGATACGATCTATTTGGGAATTTCGGTGAAATAATCATGGCCAAATCGAATATGACCGGCTCACATTTGGCAATCACTATTGCCAATGAGTTACTGGTGCCTGATGGTAAACTAAAATGATTTGTCGATTATTTTAAATTAATTCTTTTCTTTTGTGATTCTCCCCTTAGGTAAACTCTACATTTGGGATATGGAAAAAGATAGATTGACCAGTTATGATTTTCTCAACAAGAATCAACAAATCAATGCTGAAAACGAGAAGAAAAGCCCCAATGAAGCACCGACCGAACTGAATTCATTCGTTCGCAGGTGAAAAAAAAATTTGATCTATTTTATTTCATTTGAATAAATTAATGCTTGGTAGTAAAAGAGAGAATAACATAAATTTATTTTCCAGGGTACCTGTATCGTTCTGTTGGGATAATGAGGACACACGAATTGTGGCATGTGAAACGCGTCGGCTGATACAGCCGAATGAAAAACGACCGCCAACATCAATGGGAACCATGCGAGCCCCATCAAAGCTGAGCCCCATCAATGCAAAATTAAATAATGAAAACGTACCTGATTCACAAGTTTACATCATGTTTGCGACTAACGATAGCCGAAACCAAATCAAATCAATAGAAATATTGGATTTAAAATTTGGTGAACAATTGATTGACATGTATACGCCGTACGTGATCACTCTGAAAGTGAATCAAATAAAACGAAATGTATTAACAAATTTCAAAGGCATTGAAACGACGAGCGAAACAAATCGCAAATTGATATTGGATTTCAGTATTTTCATTGCTGATGGAAAGATGGACGAAGCATTTCGGTGCATTCGATCGATTCAATCGGAAACGGTTTGGGAAAATTTAGCACGAAAATGTGTTCAAACTGGTCGTTTAGATGTGGCCAAAGTATGTTTAGGAAATTTGAAAAAAGCCCTATCAGTACGGGCGCTTAGGCTGGCAATGGAGGATGATACACTTGAACCAGAAGCAAAAATTGCCGTTTTGGCCATTGAATTACAAATGATACCTGAAGCAGAATCATTATACAAGAAGTGTGGACGTTATGATTTACTCAATCAATTGTTGCAGGCATGCGGCCGATTTCAAGAAGCACTTCAGATTGCCGAACGCTTGGATCGTGTTCATTTGAAAAACACATATTTTGAGTATGCCGAGTGGCTCAAAGGAAACGGTGATATTAACAATGCCATGATTTATTACAGCAAGGCCAATAACACTGCACACAATGTAACACAAATGCTCATTGGCGAACCATCATTGTTGAAGGTAGAACCTATTTGAATTCGTTCAATTGAGAAATTGATTTTTCATTTAAATATGGCATATTGTTTTTAGCAATATATGAGCGATTCGACCGATGCAAATATGTTAAAATGGTGGGCACAATATACAGAAAGTACTGGTGATATGAATGGAGCATTGAAGATCTATCAAAAGGCCGAAGATTGCTTTTCACAGGTAAATCTAGCTAATTGTTCAACTCGCATCGAATCGTAAATCTAATGAAAATACACTCTGTTGTGCAGGTGCGAATTCTCTGTTTTCTCGGCGATATAAGTCGAGCTGATACGATTGCACGTGAAAGTAATGATAAATCAGCCTGTTACCATTTGGCTCGTCATTACGAGAATACTGGTAAAATTCAAGATGCCATTCAATTCTATGTACGTGCTCAAACCTATGGAAATGCTGTACGAATTTGCAAAGAGAACAATTTACCAAACGAACTGTGGACGGTGGCAAATTTGGCTCGACCTCGTGACAAAGCCGTGGCGGCAGCATTTTTTGAGGAAATCGAAGACTACAAACGTGCTGTTGAACTGTATCATCGATCTGGTATGTTGCACAAAGCCGTCGAAATGGCCTTTGCGTCGAAGCAAGTTGAGACATTACAAGTTATTGCCGCCGAACTCGATGTAAAATCTGATCCCGAGCTTGTTCAACGATGTGCTGAATTCTTTATTACATCACAGCAACCACAAAAAGCGGCAAATCTATTGGCCAATGCAAAGCAATATGTCAAGTCATTGGAAGTGTGTCGCGAGTATAAAATTCCAATAACCGATAACCTGGCGGATTTGTTAACGCCAAATAAAGATGAAATTGAGGAAAGTACACGTATACATATTTTAGTTGAGTTGGGCGATGTGTTGCAAGAGCAAGGCGATTATCATACGGCCACAAAGAAATTTACACAAGCCGGTGATAAGGGGCGTGCCATGAAAAGTCTATTGAAATCGGGTGATACAGACAAAATTGTATTTTTTGCGGGAATGTCAAGACAAAAAGAAGTTTTTATTATGGCAGCAAATTATTTACAGTCGCTGAACTGGCAATCGGATGGTAGAATACTGAAAAATATCATACAGTTCTATTCGAAAGCACACGCTTTTGATTTACTGGCCAATTTCTATGCAAATTGTGCACAAGTGGAAATTGACGAGTTTCACGATTATGAAAAGGCCATCAAAGCACTGACCGAGGCATCAAGATGTGTAGCCAAAATGACAAATGACACAAATACCATTCAACACAAACGAGTTACAGATAATTTGCAAAATGCTTGCGTTGAGGTACGCAAAGTGCTTGAAATTCAAGATGCATTAGAGAGAGGAGAACATAACAATGTGGTCGCAGTTTGTAAGAGCATGTTGAGCATCCCTGAACGACCCCCCGTGCGAGCCATACATGTACAAGCGATTTTAATTGAAGCACTCATTCGAAATCGCCGATATCCAGAGGCAATGGAAGCATTGGAAGATTTGTCGAGCAAATCGACCGATTGGAGTTACAAGGGATTATTGGAAAAACCATTAATAGAGAAATTGGCGCACGAGATGAATGTTGAATTTAGTACAATTTGGAATATGGGACGACAAGACATAGCAAATGGTGATGAGACCAGTGAGAATGACGATGAAATTCAAGAAGAAATTGAATAGAATTTTTTTTTGTTAGGAAACTGAATAAATAATTGTTACTTTATCATTGACAACTTTGGGAAATTCCACCTATTTTCGTCTCTTAAAATTTATTTTCATTAAATGAAATAGAAGAAAAGTCGTTCATTATGACAGTAATTATTTGATACAATACAATAAAAGAATGATTAGGAAATTGAGATTAAATCTACTGTAATGATATGAATTCAAAGAGAGAAAATAAATGTTTGAAAAATTCTAGAACAAAAAACCCCGAAAATTCTTTGAAAAATATTAAATTTAAAATATCATTTCTTCTTCGATTCAAATAGCGAATAGGTTTTTCGTGTACATTTGAACGTTTTGTTATATTTACGTATCGGGCAACACAGTTTGAGACAGTGGCGACACCGTATACAGATTATATGACTTGCAAACAAGTAGACGTTCTGCACCATTCGCCATTCTTTTCGTGTACATCGGAACAGCAGCAACTCCTGAGCTATTTTTACAGTGAATACAAACAGTATTAAATATAAAAACAATTTCATACAGTTTTTTCGTTCATTACCCGTTCAACAAACAAATCAAACGTAAGTAGATAAACAATAAAACCCATTTATTTCGTTAAAATAATGAATTTCGTCATTTGCGTATTGAATCGAGGAAATATGAAAAAAGAACAAAGAAAATGCGCACACACAGTCCATGTCATAAATAGCATTGGTTTTCTTGGTATTATTGTTACTGTATGAATGTGACTCACAAATAAAAAAAAACACTCATTTTTAATCGGCAATATTAGTATTTTCCAATTTTCTGTCGAACTGTTCCAGTATCACCATGATTTTAATGACTCATATTTCCGATAAATACAGAATTGATAATTTTCGGTATAGCCTTTTGGCTTCATGATATGTTTTCGTCGTAGTACTGTATTCATGATTGTTGCATGTTTGTGTGAGTAAGAATATCATCATAAGCGACTCAAGACGCAAATGTCGTCATTCGATTACTGTTTATTTGAAGCATCGTACATACATACAGTGTGAAGTCCAAACTTAGGCTATATTTTTTGAACAAAAAAAATCGCTTTGCATTGACAAAATTATTTATTGATTTTTTTTTACGTTTCTTTTTTTTGTTTTTTTTTTTTTAGATGCCAATCATTAAGTTGCAATCATCAGATGGCGAAATTTTCGAAACTGATGTTCAGATCGCCAAGTGCTCGGGCACCATCAAAACCATGTTAGAAGATTGTGGCATGGATGAAGAGGAGGAGGCAGTTGTACCATTGCCAAATGTTAATTCGGCTATTTTACGTCGTGTGTTGCAATGGGCCAACTATCACAAGGACGATCCAATTCCAACTGACGATGACGAAAATAAGGAAAAACGCACCGATGACATCTCATCATGGGATGCCGATTTTCTCAAAGTTGATCAAGGTAGGCAGTTTAATCGATTGAATTTGAAACGATTACTTTTTTTCATTCTTTTCCCCCATTCTGTCATATGGACATAGTTTTTGATTTGCACTTGCCTCAGTAAATTCATTAAATTGTTTTCTTGTTCAATTTTCATTGTAGGTACATTGTTCGAACTGATTTTGGCTGCCAATTACTTGGACACCAAGGGTTTATTGGACGTTACATGCAAAACGGTTGCTAACATGATCAAGGGAAAATCACCAGAAGAGATCCGGAAGACTTTCAACATCAAGAACGACTTCACACCGGCTGAAGAAGATCAAGTTCGTAAGGAAAATGAGTGGTGTGAAGAGAAGTAAACATTCACCGGACTGTTCTTGACTACAAACAAAACAAAAAAACATCAACTTTAATTTTACTTTCTCAAATTTTTTTTTTATTTCTATTAATTAAAGTTAGAAAAATCTAAGAATACAAAATAAATAAAACCAAATCAGTAAAAACAAAAATGAAATGATATTCACAATACATTATTGAATATTCATTCACAGATTGGAGAAAATCAAATTGAAATAAAAATGTATTCGGTTTTGTTTACCTCTATCAAACAATTTCAAATAAAGTTCAATCGATTTTCGTAATCGTTTAAAATATAAAGTTCTTCGATTTATTCTATTTTCATTTCTGAGATTCTTAAACTTTTTTGCCAAAGTGACGATGGAAAAGAACATGCTTGTTTTTTTTTCTGCTAATATCGATTTTATAAATTATGACCGGAATTCTCTGGATGATGACAAAATTTGAGACGCAATAAAATCTCGTCTGGATTGTTTATTATTTTTGTTTATGCAACCATCGCAATGAGTATGAAGAGAAGTCGCCTCGCTTAGAATAATGCTTACAATGACATTTTCATGATGAAAACAGAGATGGAATTAATCCGATGTATTTTACTATCAATATTTTTGGCGGGACATACAATGCAGAGTGAAAAAAGTAGCTGCTATCAATATACATTATTTTGCTGCGTCTGAATTTTTGTTAATAAGCATGTCATCTCAAAAATTATTGAAAAAAAATGTACAAAAATATTCACAAGAAATTGTTTTCTGAACATTTTATTTTTGAATTGTTAGAGATAACGCAAACTTGGATCAAGTGAAACATACGCATTAGTATAGTGTATATTCGCTGAAATGATATAGATTTCTATACTATAGCGATAAATAGAGTGTGTCATAACTCAGAAAAAAATAAACGAATTTCATCATATGGCGGAATATTGACGATTGACAGTTGCTGTAAAAAAAATGAAATATATCTCATCAATGTTTTTTTTATAGGTTCACAAAAGGCGTCGATCAAAGTATGCATACAAAATATCACTTTCATTGAAAGAAATAAAATGAAAGAAAGTTGAATTTGCTTGATATTAAACATTGTACAAGATGTTAAAATATAAAGCGGTAAACAATTTATAACATTTAGCCAAGACCGTACTACCGTCAAAATGAAATGCGTAATGAAGTAAATTCGATCAAACTGGTTTCATTAGCAGAATATTTACTGTTATTCTAATCATGATTGTTATAGTTTTTTTTGTAGCTCTGTTGTTTTGTTGTCTGTGGTTCGGTTTTACATTTATGATTATGAATTGATTGTAAGTTTGTCATCGAAACTATCAGCACGATGTTCTCTGTAACACTTTCTTTGTTCGCAAAACAGATTTTATAAATCATTCAAAAAATTCGGTCATTTGTGTCTTATGACATATGTGTAAATTATGCGCATTTTTAATCACATTTCATAGATAACTTCGAATATGCCAGTCAAAATGTTTGAAAGAAATTAGATTTTGGGTGACTATAAAAGACCGTCCAGAAGTTGCGATGCTTTCAGATGGTGAATTACCATTGAACGAATTGGGATTGCAATGTTCAAAGTTTATGCAGCATATCAGACGGTGTTTTAACTTAAATAAATTGGAATTTATCCAAACATGTTCTACCTAAGGTTTTTGGTTGGATCAATACTTCTGTGCATAGTGCTTGTGTCAGGTAATATACATCTGTCAATTGTGTGCAATGCAATAATGATAATGAAATGTGTTTTTGTTTGAATTGAACATGTGCTATAGATTTAGATGCAAGACAAATGTCACTTGAAGAAGATTTCACCGTTTTGATTGACTACGAAAAGTATCAAGAACATGTTCAACCATGGCGACATCAAAGACAACTAAATGCTTCGAATCATACTCAACCATTGAATCTACAGCAAGTCCAACAAAAGCGGAACGATTCTGACGAATGCAATGGTAGCAATGGTATTTTCATTTTATAAACATGTTCGAAGCGGGAAATATTATTTATAGTTGGTTACTTTCTTTGACAGAATGTGAAACAAAAGTGTGTGACGATCCTGAGAATGAAGTGTATCAAGAATGTGGTAGCAAATGTGTGTTGGGATGCCGATATGCATCAATATCGTCAGGGTTTAGTTTTACAATATCAAAGCATGATTGTGAGAAAAATGATTGTGTCGAAGGATGTTTCTGTAAAACAGGCTTGGTCAGACATCAAACTAAATGTATTCCGGCATCAGAGTGTCCAGTTCGAAAATGTAATCATCGCTATGAAGTATATGTAAGTAAATATTCAACGAATTTGTGTTGAATTTTTGACATTTTAATTCCAATGTGATTAATTGTGTCAAGATGTGTGGACCAGCCGCGCCCATTACTTGTGATAATGCGTTACGTGAAGATGAAATAAGCGAGTTAACACGGCACGTGGAATGTGTTTGGGGATGTTTCTGTGCACAAGGATACTTGAGGAACAATTACAATGGAAAATGTGTGCCAGAGCAAGAGTGTCGAAACACCAAATCTGTGGATATTTCTCCGCAGATACCAGGCCTATTCAAACATATAACCGGCGGTGGAAGCGGATGCGGCCCAAAAGGATGTGGATCTAATCATCATTCATCATCATCATCATCATCTTCATCATCTGAAGAAAATGAATGTGGGCCGACCGGTTGTGGCTCAACTGAGTCGCACGAAATCGGATGTGGATCAAATGGTTGCGACAATGAAGGTAAAGATTAAGACATTTTCTGTTCTGGTATAGTCTATTTTCCACAATGCACCCATTGCTTTGAAATTCAGAAGTGCCGATAAATCGAAATATGTTTCGACACTGAATACGTGTCTAACAGTACTTTTTTCTTATTCGAAGATAAAAAAACGGCAGCATTCATTTGAAATAGGGCAATGATTGGTCAACACAAAGAACATTTCATTCATTCATAGGCATCTTTGATTAGATCGTTTCATTTCCATATATATTTGACTAAGCTTCTTTTATGCTATTGTATGTTCGAATTTATGCTACACAGATGGTGAACATCATCACTATTATCACACCGGAGGTGTATATTCATATAGAAATAACGGCACGATACATATAAGTGGCCATCTATAGAACACATACTATTTGATGCGATCGTTTCAATATGACCTTCTATAATATTCTTATTCTTGAATGTTTTACTAAATTTTGAATGCAATTTAAACATATTCATAACAAATTATTTCAGGTCAGTGGAACAACGGCAATCGTCGTCGTCCAATTGACAATCGATGGCAAAGTGGACCAGGTATTTTATGTGAAAGAAAGTCATTTTGAATATTCAATTAAATCAAATTTATTTAACATTTGTAGCTCCAGTAATTCATGTTCACAAATGGAACGGAACATGCATTGGCACTAATGTATGTACGGGAGCGGATTCAGGCAGTGGTAATCGTGGGACAGGTTCAGTGAATTCAGGTATTAAAGTGATTTTCTCTTTTCAAATGCTCTGATAAAATTATGGAATATTCTCTTGAGAATCAAATGCATTTCTTTTTCAATAGACACACCATTAACAACAGTTACACTTCAAAATGGAACAACAATCACCAGTCCGGCTGGCTCAGAAGCAACAGTTAATCTTGATGCAATCCAAACAGGATCTGATATAGCTGATGAAGAAGAGGAAGAATATGATGATGAAGATTATGAGCATGATACGGTCGAAGAAGATGATGATGATGATACGGATATGCCGATGGAAACACGGCCACAGATTCCGGATAGCTTTGCAACTGCTATTATCAATGCGATTGCAGAAAGTCAAAAACCGTCAAGCAATAAACCACAAAATGATAATAGCAAGCCACAAAGCGTACCATCTGTTGAAATTATGAATGGAAATCCCACAAACACTAAACCTCAAATAATGCCAGTGCCCTCTTTGAATGTGAACACACCGATTAACAATGCTCCGAGTGGTCAGTCAACACACACACCGATGAGCAATGGTAATAATTTTATGCCAAGACCACCGCAATTGGCAGCGATATCATTTCCGAATTATCAATTACCAAATAATGCCATCCAAAATCCAATTACAAATCCATTTGGACAATTTAATTATCCAATTACACCGAATTTAATTTATAATCCAAACATTGCTCAGAATATGCAACAGTTTACATCTCCTTTCTTTGGAGCTGTCCAAAAACAACAACAACAAGCATTTGTTCCGCCAAATTTCTTCAATCGCCCGATGATTCCAAATCGCATTCAAATCGCAAATGCTCCAACTGAAAATAAATACAAAGTTGAGACCGAATACGATTCGGTTGAGGAGCAAGAATCTGAAGAATATGAAAAGGATACTGCATCGAAAAAAACCGAAATGAAAGTTCCATTAAATAATCAACAACCATTCATTAATTTATTCAATCCAAATCAATACGTTCCAAATCAATATCAAATTAATCCAAACCAGTTCAATCCCTATCACTTCAACCCAAATCAATTCCAGCCAAATCCATTCTACATAAACAATTTACCAAATGGGTATCCAACTCACTTTTCATCGCCAAATGTACAATTCAATCCGTTTAGCAATAATAATCCATTCAACGCACAAAGTACAAATGCTCCTCTAAATCAGGCTAATCTAAACTATAGCCCTCATATGAACAAACAGGGTAATCCAATTTCTCAAAAACAAAAGAAAAAACCACATAAAAAACAACAAAGTACGGGTGAAAAACAGACACCAGCTAACCAATTTAATACGTTTAACCGAAAAATCCGACCATTTTCCGATAAACCAGATGCTGACGAAAAAATTGAATCTCATATTAATGGTGAACAAATGACCGAAAAATCCAACGATAAAATTCCAGACAGCGAAAATTGAGATACATTCAGCCGTAAAAAGTCGATTTATATATATTTTCTACTAAAAAAGAAAAATGATAGAAAAGTACTTCAATAAAATATAAGAAAATCTGTGTAACAGATGAAAATACTTAGATTTAGAAAAAAAAACGTTATTTATTCTTTTATATTGTATGCGAAAAATAAGAAAATAATAAAAATTGAAACTTAAATCGAACTATTTCTCTTTTATTTTGTACATTTTTAATTGAATCAAAAAGACATTATAGGAGATATCCGTTTCTTTTGACTGATTTTATTATGTGCTTTTCATACAAAATGAATTGATTAGCTCTTTAATCTGCACACGGCCTGTTAATCTATGTAATAAAAAGAATGAATGGTATTTTTTCCAGTCCACATTGAATGAACTCACTCATCACATGAATCGAATTCATAGCATTGCATTGCGTTTCCAAAATTCATATTGAGAATTGTCATAAATAAAACCTAGTTTTTTAGCAAACACACCTTTCGAAAATTTATTCTATTAAATTATGTTCATTCTGAAGAGAATTCAAACGAAAAGTATAATCGTGAAAATTTCCCATACAAATGGATTAATGTCATCAAATCAGTATTATGAATGATTATTTGCTTTTTTGTAAATGGATCGCCTTTGTTGAATTTATGAAAAAAAAAACCTTTGCAACGATCAATACATTTTTTTTCTCCATATAGTTTATAAAATCCCACGTCTACCGCAGTAGATCTGATTCCAAATAGATCAATGCTTAAATTAGTGTTCAATCATATAATTTTAGTAGGTTTATAAATAACGTTACTTTGTAATAAACTGAAATATACTTAAGCCTATATTTGTCACTTAAAATCTTCAGAATGAAATCTTCACAGAACAAACGGAGGCATTCATTCGATTGATTGGCCATAATTTGTATTTGACTAACGGTCTCTTGATTTTCAACAACTTTTCTACAAACACAATAGCAACGAAGTAGCTACCACAACGTTTACATTTTTAGGCCTACGAAATAGACTAATAAACTATGTATTTTATTGAAGAAAAATTCATAATAATCTTCACAATATCATTGAAAAGATGTATGGCATTTGGGCCGAATTCGATTTGGTCGTGGTATAAAAACCAAATTTCAGATAGCAACGTACTCAGTTGATGAAGTGCTATCGGACGAAAAAAATTAACCAGCCATGCAATTGTTCACGAATTTTGTAAATTCGTCAGTGGTGATAGTTTTGTGCACCTTTTTAGTGTCAGGTAAATGTGAATAATCGCAATTTGCGCAATATGAAGTGAGATGTTAAGTTCAATTTATTTTGTGTTCTTTAGGTTTTCAAGCCAAAGAAGTTCACTTGGAAACTGAATCGACCATTTTGATCGATGCGAAGAAATTTTTGGAAATTTTCAAAAAATCAAATGAAACCACTGTTTGTGATGAGAATGAAGAGTATTTAGAATGTGGTAAAAAGTGTATGTTGAGCTGTCGATACTCTGCATCATCGTTTGGCATTGCACTCTCCGAAGATGAGTGTGAAAAAAATGAATGCGTCAAAGGATGCTTTTGTAAAGATGGTTTGGTACGACAAAGAGATAAATGTGTACCTGTGGCAGAGTGTTCATCTCGTCAAAGCCGAGCTTTTGAGATTAATGAATTTCCACAGTTCAATCAAGGATTAAAGATTTTTGGATTGTTCCGGCCACAACAACCAGGCTGCCCTTTCGGTGGATGTAATCCAACTAATTTACCAGCAAACATTCACATTCATAATCACAATGCAGCTGAAACCGGTAATTTTTGTGTGAAAAGTTGCTATGTTGAGTGAAAAGTTTGGAAGTGATTCTTTAATTTGTTTTCAGGTGAGGAGTATGAAGACGACGATTGCCATGGGAAACATTGTGGCGGAGGACATGGTGGAAATGGTGGTCATGGTGGCCATGGAGGAAGTGGTGGTTTGTGATATGCATTTTCATTTTCAATCATTCAGATAGTATTTCATTGTTTTTTCTATCAAATTAAATAATTTTCAGGCGGAGCATCAAACAACAACAACGACGATAATAACAATAATAATAATAATAACAACAACAATAACCCAATAAATAACTTCTTTGGTAAGTGGAATTTAAAGCTAAATTTTATAAAGAATTAAATATATCAAATCTATTTTAGGCACATCAGGTGGTGGAAATGCAGGAGGTAAGTCGCATCTATCACATTGATGATAGATTTGATTCTCAACATTCTTTTTATTTTTACATTCATTTTTAGAAGACCATCATCACCATTATCATGGACATGGAGGTAATTTAAAGAAAACAAGTTGAATGCACACATATTTACCAATGATCAATTGATTTCAGACGGTCCAGGTTGGCTTGGAAACGGTGGCCCAGGATTTGGATATAATCCAGGTGGTCCGGGCTTCGGATGGCCAGGATATAATGGAAACGGTTGGTGGGGCAATGGATATGGAAATAATCCGGTAATAAAAATCGTCATATTCAATCACATTTTGCTTTTCAATTAAACAATGTTCTTTTATTATAGTTCTACTATCCATGGGGTTTTGTGAGTTACACACCAACTGCCATATTCGTTAATGTGAATGGCATAACATACGCTGTGCCCAATACGGGTATGATTTGAATATTTTGAAATACTTGAAAAATGGATTGTTTTTAAGTTATTCTTATTTTTAGGCGGAATCCTTACCAACACCGGTACCATTACTTTTAATTCTGGCGGAATCCAAACGGTAGTTGTTCTTTTACATTAGGAATTTTTCAAATGTTTTTTTTTTTTTCAAACAAATCTTATTCATAGATCACTTATCCATGGGGAAGCACAACAACTAATACAAACACAGGCACTCAAACGATAACACTTCCAACAAACGGTGGTTTTATTACAATTAATATTGACAGAAATGGTACTGTGACAGGGTCAACTACCACAATTGGTGGAATTACAGTGCCTGGTAATGAAATAGATATTTTCAAAAAATAGAAAAATGGAAATTGAGCTTTTCCTTTATTCTTTTCAGGAATTAATTTGCCTGGCATAGGCGGAACGACGGGGGGTACAATAGGTTTGTACTGATTTATGTTTTCGGTGTCTTAATAATCACCATATATATTAATACGACGTTTTCTTTAATAATGTACGGTTTTGTGTTTGTCTGTTTTTTGTGTTTTTTTTACTTCGTTTGACACCTTTACTGCGACTCGCAAAAAAATTCAATTTTCAAAATGTTGATAAATATCTTATTAAATCTGTATAGGTTTGCCTGGAATTGGGGGAACGATTGGACTGCCTGGAACTGGTGGCACAATAGGTTTGTGTGGATTTATATTTTCCATATCTTAATATAGCATATATATAAATATGGAGTTTTCCTTTTCTGTGACTCACAAAAAGTATTCAACATGTTATTAAATATCTTATTAAATCTGTATAGGTTTGCCTGGAATTGGGGGAACTATTGGACTGCCTGGAATTGGTGGCACAATAGGTGGAACGACAGGGGGTTCAATAGGTTTGTATGGATTTCTAACAAGAAATCTTAATAACAAGCAATTGTTTATAATTCCCATTTTTTTAAAATATATGACAGATGCGATTTCAAAATGTTATAAGTTAAAAACATGCGAGTCGCTTTCACTTCTTGCATATTTTGAAAAGTATTTCACGGCAATGAAAAATCATGAAAATTTCTGTCGTGAATTTGTCAATTTGACTCTTTACTGTGACACGAAAATATACTAATACGGAGTTTTCCTTAAAAAATTTCATTTTTCAAAATGTTGATAAATATCTTATTAAATCTGTATAGGTTTGCCTGGAATTGGGGGCACAATTGGTTTACCCGGTATAAATACTGGAATTCGAACACCGATCGGTGGCATTACGGCCGGCACTAATGGGGTTAGTGCCAATATTCCAGGAGTTTCGGCAGGAGTTACACCTGGAACGTCAGGAAGTGGTATAAATGCTGGAATTCAAACACCAATTGGTGGCATTACAGCCGGAACTAATGGAGTTAGTGTCAACATCCCAGGACTCGGATCAATTGGTACAAATGACGAAATTACAGAAGATGATGAATCAGAGTTGGATACAAAACCAACGCAGCAAACCGATGATCATCAAACCTCTGCTAATAAAAAGCCCGCAACAAATCAATATTCAGCGCCAATGCATCAAACCGAAAATCCACCAACTAATGCCGATAAACTACAAAGCCAAAT